AGTGCTTGGAGACCTTACCTCCCAGCATGCAATAGTGCTTGGTGACCTTACCTCCCAGCATGCTATAGTGCTTGGTGACCATACCTCCCAGCATGCAATAGTGCTTGGTGACCATACCTCCAAGCATGCAACAGTGCTTGGAGATCCCACCTTTCAGCATGCAATGGCCTCAGTCTCCAGGCTCTCAACCCTCACCTGAGAGGCCAAAGCAGACAGCTCCAACTCGGAGCAGGGACTCTGCACCTTTGCTGAACACCATGATGACACAGAGGCACCCCAGGGCCATGAATGCAAGGCCTAGCACTGCTATCACTGCAGCTGCCAGATTCACCTCTGTGAGGAGAAAGGGAAGAAATAGAGCACATGGGACATAGGGAGTGGGGAGAGCTCCCCTACGAGGACCCAGAACCAAGAAGATGGAAGATTCAGGACTAGAGAAGAATTTTCAAGTGGAAGATCCAGTCCAATATTTTACTTATACTGTTGAAGGAGCTAAGACTCAGAGAGGGCCAGTTATTTGTCTAAAGTCACAGAGCAAAGAGAAGACAGCCAGGATTAAAAGGAGACGGGAACAGGGCCTGTCGAGTGGTGCATTGGTTAAGAGTTGGCTTGGGACACCAGCTCTGAGCAGCAGTGCCCTGGTTCAGATCCCATATTAGGGCCAGTGACACTGCGCCCTCTACAGCTAAGATGGTGAACAACAGCTCGACCTGGAGCTGGGCTGCCATGAATCGCCGCTGACGGCGTAGGCTGCAGTGGGCTCCTGTATACCATGAGCGGCTGGCAGCCAGAGTGAGCTGCCAAGAGTCTCCGTGAGCGGCCGGCCAGTGGCCAGCGACCGATCTGCCTCACCTGGGAAGAGTGCAATGATCACAATACCAACATGGGCCAGTGAAGCAACGTCCTCCACAACTAGACTGAAGAACAAAAGGACAGCAACTTGTCTGTTCCCCTCCCCTAATCCCCCAATAAAATCTTTTTTAAAAAAAGGAGATGGGAACTACCAATGATTACTTACTATCTGGTCACCATTTGTTTACAGGTGAGGAAACTGAAGCAAAGACCATGGTATATTACAGTGGAATGACCCAAGTTGGAATTCTCCCCAGCCATTTCCTAGCTGGAAGACTGTTAAAGTCACTGAACCTCTCTGAGCCTTAGTTTCCTCCTCTAGAAAATCAGGATCAAAATCTCTATTTGATCAGGCTGCTGTGAAGATTAGAAATCACGTGTGTAAAGTGTCCAGGGCAGCACCTGGTACCCAGCAGTTTTTTCATACGCGTGCACTATCCCAGAGGAGCACGGTGACTTGCCCAAGCTCACTTGGCACCAAGACAAGAGAGAAAGGCGTGGAGAGGGTAAGGAAACACTGTTTATTGTGGACCTACTGTGTGCCAGGCACCATACTGCATGTCTTAGCTGCATCATCTCAATAAATCAAACATGGTTCATGACATGATCACAGTTCCTTTACAAATGGGGATATTGAGGTACTGGGGTGACGGAGAGGCTGTGGTTAGAGTAGAAAGGGTAAAGTTTTAATAGCTGCTTTGTCCAGTATGGTAGCCATTAGCCACATGTGGCCTTTTCATCTTAAATGGCTTTAAATTAAACAAAACTTAAAACTCATATCCTCAGTAGCACCTGTCACATTCCAAGTGCTCAGCAGCCTCATGAGGCCAGTGGCCAGCATATTGGTCAAGCAGACATAGAACATTTCCATTGTCACAGAAGATTCTATAGGACAGTGCTACTTTAGAGTCAGAATTACTTTGGCTCAAATCCTGGCTCTGCCTCTCTACTTTCTGGGAAAAATAAAGTTAACCATTTGTGGGCTTCCATTTTCTCAACTGGAAGGTTAAGATAAAACCCCTGTTTGTGGGGTATGGCAAGGATGGAGATCTTATAAATGAAATATCCGTCGCCATGCTTAGCATATGGTAGATGCACACTTTGTGGATGGTAAAGTACCATCCACAGAGAGGGGTCGTGACTGGACCCAAGTTGCACAGCCTATTGCAAAGGCAGAGCTGGGGTAGGAGATGATGACCCTCCTGCCACACACGCAGCACACACAGCCCCCCCACCCCCCGCCCCAAGATGGGACCTCCCAGGACATAGGAGCTGCGCCCATCCATCTGGGGCAAAGCAGAGAAGAGGACAATGCTATGAAGAATTCCTCTAGCATGGTCAGCATATCCCCTCCACCACCCCACCACTGGGTGAAAACCTCTCACCTTTCTTTGTGGTTCTCTGGAAAATGCGTGCATTCTCCCCCGTGGTGAAGAATTTGAAATAGGTGCAGTTGGCTTCTGTGGGAACAGGAAGGAGAGAAAAAGGAGGTGAGGGCGTGGAGGTCCCTAATAAGCGCGGGACTGATCTTAACATAGCTCACAATAGCCTAAATATGTGACATTAGCATCCCTGATAGACAGAAGTGAAAAATGATGCTCAGAGAAGTAGAAGCCACCTTCCAATCCAGACCTCTGAGGTCCAGATCTGTGGCTTTGAGTGGGCCATTGACCTCTATGGGGCCTCTGAATCTTCCTCCATTAAATGACATAATAGTCTCTTTCCTGGCTCTGTCATATGGGTTTGTTGAGGGTCAAGTGGGGTTAGAAATGGATAATCGCTTTATTCAACAAAGGACACCAAGATACAGGCCACAGAAGACTAACAGAAGAGATTCTTAGAAAGGATCTTAGAAAGACTCCTGCAGATCAGCAAGAAAAGAAAGGTAACCCAGTTGAAAAATGGGCAAATGATATGAATAGTCAATTCATAGACGAGGAAGCCTGGATGACTCGCAAGTACAGCAAGAGATGGTCCACCTCCCCAGGGATCACAGAAATGCAACTCAAATCAGCAGGGAGATGCCACCTGAGAGCAATTAGACTGGCAAATATTAAAAAGGATAATATCAAGCCCTGGAAGCATAAACTGGTACAGGCAGACCTCATTTTATTGCGCTTCGATGATATTGCGTTTTCATCAACATTGAGGCAGACCCTCCACAAGCAAAGAGAATTCAACTCATGGAAGGCTCAGGTGATAGTAGCATTTTTTAGCAATAAAAGATTTTTAAATTAAGGGATGGGCATTTTTTGAGACATAACATTATTGCACACTTAATAGACTACAGTATAGTGTAAACATAACTTTTATGTGCACTGGGAAACCAAAAAATTTGTGACTCACTTCATCGCGGTGGTCTGGTACCGAACCCACGGTATCTCCCAGGTGTGCCTGTAGTAGTTTTTTTGGAAAGCACTCTGACAGACTTTGTGAAATGAAGTATGTTTATACCCTATAACCCAGCCATTTCACTTCTGGGGATACATCCAGACAAAACCACACTCGGAAAACATATGTGATGTTCACTGCAGTACTGTTTATAATAACAGGGAGTAAGAAGACTAACAGAAAGCAACTCGAAGAGATTTGAGAAACACAGTGTTGAGGAAAAAAATCAAAAACAGGAAAAAATCTATAGCACAATATCATTTATGTAAATTAAAACACCTACAGATAGGGTCGGCCGAGTGGTGCGATGGTTAAGGACTGGCTTGGGATGCCATAGGGCCCCGGTTCAGATCCCACATATGAGGGCTAGTGACACTGCCCTCCACAGCTAAGATGCTGAACAACAGCTCAACCTGGAGCTGGGCTGCTGTGAGTCACCAGCGACGGCATAGGCTGCAGCCCCTGTGGCAGTGGGTTGCCATGGGCTACCGTGTGTAGCCAGCAGCCAGCGTGAGCGGCCAGCAGC